TGCACCGGAGTCAGGCTGTCCAGTGCCCCTATGGTCATCGTCACACGAGAGATGTCATATTCATCATGTAACCAGTTTACCTCGTCTAATGTCGTCTTCGACCTTGACAGATAAAGGACCCTGAGCTTCCTTTCACGATCATTCTGAGGAAAGGACATGATAAAATATCTTAAGAAGAAATGAACGAACCTACGAAGAAAAATGTTCTTGAGATAGAGTACTCTTCGAACAACGTCGGCAACTATTTATAAACCCTCAAAGAAGCAGGCGGGAGAATTCAAGAGGCTCAATCCTTGGAGCAACCAATACAGATACACTTCGAGAATCTGAAACAGATCGTTGGAGATACGAACCGCCGCTCACACCAATCAATTGGCAAAGCGAAGCGCCGCCTGCTTTAATCCCTGACGCCTCGTCTCCTATGAAGAAGCAGTTCCCAAAACCGACAACATCAATCCACCAAAGAGTGGTGGTTGAGCACACCCCACGCCATGTTCCTAAGCCACGATCAACAGGCTAGAAAATCTTAAATATTCTCAGCAAACTCATTCCTATTTCACTCAGACCCGACCAAAGTCAGCTCCGACTGAAAGGGGCCAACAGTTATGGTTAGTCACCATACTAAAATAGAAGTATTGGAAGAATACCTACATAAGCCCAAGCGAGTTATGGTTCGAATCAACTTAGAGGCTCAAAAGCCTAGTCAGAGCAAAGTCCCTCGACTAGACGAGCAGACAAGCCTTATTCCGATCGTCAGGTCATCATGACCGACTCAAAGAACGGGATCAGTCGTCCCCTTACAATTAAGACAACTCCTTGAGCAGACGACTCTACTACCGGGTCGCCAAATCATAATGATGACTCACAGATTAACCCGCCTTGGCCAAAGGGATAAGAGCCGACCAAGGTTATTTCAGACGTCAATCGACACAACAGTACTGATTAGTCCCATCAAGCTCTCTGTTCTGACAACCCTCGTGGACCAGCCGCTTATTCGGCTTATAAGTCATTTCCCAGAGAATTTCCATGATGCTTCTCTGTACACAAATGATTTCTCCTCCAATTCCCAGCCGCCACCTGGAGAGAGAAGGACGGCCACACAGCCGATCTATCCTACACCCTGCCTCTTCTGACAAATCTAGGGTACTGAGAAGACGTTTCTCTCCTAACACTGAATGACTTCCCTTCCAGTCGCTTGCCGACACCTGGAGGAAGAAAGATGACTCAGCAGCCTGCCTGTTCACCTTTCAAACCACCTCCTGTGCATAGTCAACAAAAGCCGAGGGTCAAACTCCTAGAGGCAGAGGGGCTATAAAAGAAGGTAAGGAAGGTAAGAGCAGGGGGAGAGAAAAAAAGAGGAAAAAGGTGGCTCTCTGCTTCTTCTTACACTTGAGCTTTACTCCCCTTTGGGATCTTTTTTTTTACATAAAGAGCATTTAATAACTCTTAGGGAGAAACCCCCTGCAAAGACCTCAATGGCCCAGAGACATCTCAAGAAACCCTCCCCAAGTTCACAAACTGACTTGACCGTCGGATGTACCACGAGGAAAACTAGCCCCGTATTCCTACGATTCTTGCATGTGCAGGCTATCAGTCCACCCCGCGCGCTCAGAATCGGGCATAAAGTCAGAGGAGGAGTCGGCCCCAACATTCATCCTCTCCTTCTTCTCCACCGTCGCTAGGATCGAAACTGCATCCGACTGCGGGAAACCCCCATCGACTATTTGTTTACGAGCATCAACAGTTATAACATACATCCAAATGATGGAGAAATTATTCCATCTAGGAATGTGCCATTTATATGCCAATAGAACAGTATAGAGACGATAAGTGGCTATCACTACACATTAAGAAAAAGAATCTGTGATTAACCATAAAACTTGAGTGCTTGATTTTCATCTTGCTTACAGTCACGAGTTTTTCGCTATAGGCACATGACAGTGATGATCCAATGAGATATTAGGCGACATAACAAGCCGGCATAGCTTAAATCATGAAGGAAGCCAGTCAACTAACTCTTTATTGAGCTTGCATTTTGGGTATGAACCAATTTTCTGCATAACAATTTTCAAACATATTAACATTACGATACATACATTCTGATGCTGAAGATGTGGGTTATTTATTTGCCTAAGCCTCATCACATCATCTGCTACTTTCTCAACATGCATCCATCCAGCAAAAGATATAGGGTTCATGTAGCCTTTTATTTGGGGAATGATTGCTGCTTGTTCATTACGTTTATCGACAAGGTCATCGACAAAATTATGCAATCTCTTTACAATGAGATATTAGTCGTTTCTAATGGAGTTCTGGAGATTAGTGAACCAAACACATAAGCTATTGACAAAGAAGAACACCACGCTGAAGAGAAGGCAACCGATCCAAGCAAACCGATAGACCGCATAGTTAATGATCAATGGATAGCCAAGCAAAGGGAAAAAGACCTCTGGCAAATACATAGGAAACACAAAGTGCAGTCAGAAGCTTCGAGATGAAAGAAAATTCGATGGCTTTTCAAAGAAATTAGTGCAAAGACATAGAAAGCCTATAACGTCATAAGCTTGGATTTACATCCACATCATCAAACATTACTTTTACGTATATTCTTGTTATAAATATAATTAGAATTTAAAATAATATTAAAAATTTTACCACGTGCATTGCACGTGCAATCCAACTAGTTATCAAAAAATATGTGCAACACGAGGAAGTGCAGTAGCTACAACACAAGCCTATACATTTTCTCATGTGAAATTTTGCAAGCTTAAAACTATAAAAGGCAGTAGCTACAACACGAGCACATAACATTTTCCCATGTGAAATTTTACCAGCTTAAAATGAGAAAAGAGGGGGCAGAAGAATTGATTTGAATGAATGTGAATTGATGGCCATCATGTAGGGTGGCAATAACCGAAAAAGAATTGAAAATCACTGATTACAACCCAATTCAACCAATCAGTCTTAAAGAGTTTCATTTTTTTTCCCGCCCATAAACTTCAACCTTTTTAATTTTTTAAGTTTGTTCAAAGAGGCTCTCATAATTTACTACGTCTTTGTACTCTCAACGTTGTTGTTTGAATTGTCCATAGTGATAATGTTTAAACCATGTTGTTTAGCCACTCTTTTTTAGTTTTTCATTAATGCGAGCTTCGCTATTTTTATTTTAGTCACTGAGCATTTTCTCATTATTTCTTTGTACTTTGATTTTGCATTTATTTGAGTGGGAAAGGAAACAAATAAGAACATGAGAATTTTGTTTTTGTTGTGTCAGAAAACGGTAACTTAGACTTGGGTCCCCTACTAAATCAAAACTAAAATCCAAATAAAAAACAATCCACATCCAAACCAACTCAAATCAAATTGACCGAAATGTCATTTAAACTAAAATCCAAGTCCAAATCGAATCGACCTCCATATCGCTAAACTGGACTCCAAATCAAATCAAACCCCAAATCAAATTGATCTCCACCCAAATCAACACTCATCTCTATATGTCCAAGCTGCGGGTATACTCCATTTCTACTACTTGTAGGCATAAAAAAATTGCCTATAGATTGCAAAGAAGCTCAAAACTGACGAAAACGCCGATATCTCCCAAACCGGAGGGAATTTGGTAAAACGGATGGCGGCAAACCAAACTTCGGTCGGTTTGTTTGGCCCCCATCTCATCGAGATAAATGATTTTCATAAATAATTCATCCAATTCTGACTTACGGTTTGAAAGTTATGACATGTTCTTCGTAGCATATTCTGAAGTCCGCCTGAACTGGTCGAACCTCGCCTGAACTATTGGACCAAGCCTATAGGTTCCCGAAACACAGCTTGAGATAAAGAGAAGGTGATGAACGTCATCATCCGAGTCAAAAAAGATTATTCGATGCCAAAAGGAAACGACGGAACGCGCTCGAAACGACGAAACATGACCAACCCGGGAAATCAAAAAATCCCAGTCACCTCGAAGTGACTCGGAAATCCCGAGTCACCTCAAGGTGACTTGAAACAGTGCCGAGTCACATTGAGGTGGCTCGCACAGTGAAGTTACCAATGACGTGTTTTCAGATGATTTTCTCAGGATTTGTTCGATCTACTGCCTCCCAAATTGCCTTGGGATCATCCCTAAACATGGTTAAACCGTTATTAACTGAAGATAAGATCAAATCATGAATTCTTATCCGAAAATACGACATCCGAAGCCTATAAATACACCCCTAGGGCCGCTATGCACGGGGGATCTGAAATTTGGAGTTTGGAGGCGAGGTGCTGACCTTGTGAGAGCAGACCTACAAATTTCAGAGAGAGGCTAGCGAGATCTTGGTGAATTTCTGCATAAAGAGGGAGATTTCGAGAGACCTGCAACCTTTCGTTTGTTTCCTTGAGATCAGAATTCATTTTGATCTTAAGAAGAGTAGTAATCCCACTTTGTTGAGGTTATTTACTTCAGTCTTGCTTCCTTTGTGAAACGAGATCAACTGGATCTGATTTTTGGTGGTCCACAGACTAATGTGTCTCCAGCACAGGTAAAAATCTCACGCAAGCAGCGACCGATAAACGATCATGTGTGAGTTTCTAGGAAGTCTTCATTTATTTTCATTCGTGTAAGAAAAGGCTTATAAAAAGGCTCCTTCTTTCGAATCTTGTAAATCGATAAACAATTGTAATGGATTTAGCAATGAAAAATATTTCCAACGCAAACACTATTGTGAGTTCTCTTGGATGATTTGTTGACTCTTAATCGAAGGTGCCTTCTTGAGAGGGTAATTAACAATATACTCTTGAGTATATTGGAAGCCATGGGCCCCTTAAAAAAATAAAACCCTATCCTAAGGGTGAATTTATGGATCTAAAGCATCTTTCTTAATTAGATGCTCCGTCCCGCATCCAAGTTAATGGAGACAATTTTGATCACACGATACTATAACTTGGTTATGCACTTGCAACTTTGCATTATTTACGGCCCACTACCGAGCTTGCATCAAAGTGGTATTTGAGGAGCGAGCTTCGACATTAACTAAGAATAATTCTTGGAAGTTGGAAGAAATTGACCAAAATCCAGATTAAACAAAAGGAACCCTTAATAAGCTTAAATTCGTAATAAGAAAAAATCTATATAACTACATTTACATATATATTTGAACATTTTCCAAATGAATGAGCACCTTGCTTCTCTTTGCACGTACTAATTATAACTGCTCAAGTTCAAGTAAGGAACACTATGCACTTCAATTTGGAAACAACTGGTAGGATCCCATGCTTCGAAGTCTATGATAAAATTGAGCACATATTCGGAGGGAGGGAAACAGAGATTGCTCCTTCAAGCATCTGCACCACTTTCTTCATAGAAGGTCTCAGCCATGGTTCATCCTGTACACAAGAAATCGCCACCATCACGAGCCTCTCTAACCTTGTTCCATCCTTCTTCGCCTCCTCATCTTCTGCTACCAACAAGTCAAGCCTCCCATTCTTATAGCATTCTTTCGCCCAGCCGATCACCGTTAACTTTTCTTGGCTCTCTGGTCCCCACTCGAAGTTCCTCCTACAACAAATAATCTCTAACAACATAACCCCATAGCTGTAGACATCCACCTTCGCAGTTATCGCAACATTCTTAAACCATTCAGGCGCAAAATAGCCTATCGTTCCCCTGATGCCCGTGCTTGTTCGTGTCTGATCCAGCCTCAGAAGTTTCGCTAGACCAAAATCAGATATCCTCGCCTCGAAATTATCGTCCAACAGTATGTTCTGAGGTTTTATGTCACAATGTATGATCTGAGTTCTACATTCGTCGTGCAAATATGCTAGTCCCTCTGCAATCCCAAGCGCGATTTTTACTCTTTGGTTCCACTCTGGTCGATCGCTCCTGAATAGCAATCTGTTTAACGATCCGTTGCTCATGAGCTCAAAAACCATGAGTAGATGTGTTCCCTCCTTGCAGAATCCAAGCAATCGGACTAGGTTCTTGTGATACGTCAGGCCGATGGTTGCAACCTCATTAGTAAAATCTTTCTCCGCATCTTGGGATAGGCTCTCCAGTTTCTTCACAGCAATGTGAGTTGCTGGTTGTGATGGTAAGACTCCTTTATAAACTGTACCAAAAGCGCCTTTGCCGATCTCTTCATTGAATCCTTTAGTTGCCCTTTCGAGCTCTTTATAGGTGAATGAGCACAATGCTGGGCCTATGACGGCGCCTGAGGTTCGAGGCAAAGCTCTCATGTTTCTTTTATGCATCACAAAGGCAATGAGCGGAACTAAAACTGCAGAACAACCGAAGACCAATGAGCCAACAAGAATCGGCGTCTTCCATTCTTTCTTTTCTTTAATTAGACTTGCTGGATCACTAACTGTAGAAAATTTGATGAAAGCTTTTCGGTTGACATCGCTTCCCCCCCTTCCATTTGATAGAGGAAACTTCTTCTTCCAACAAGTTTCATTGTTATATATTGCGACCGAACAAAAACAGTCTTTTAAGCAATTATCTGTGCAGTCAGCCTCACCCATAGGACTGAACTCCTCAGCATCTGCTAACGGCCAATCGACATTAGTGATCTCCGTGAAATTGAACGCTGTTTCGCCTCCGAGATCACAGCTTTGGGAAATGAAGTCAGCCTTGCAGCCCTTATATATCCTGTCCGGGTCCAAGAATGAATAGTGAGGAGGGCACCGGCAATCAGCCCTCCCGTCTGCGTCTAAAACACAGAAACTGTTGAATCCACAAGCGCCACTGCCCCGACTTTCAAACAGTGACTCGCAGATATCTGAAGGCACAAAAGCTTTAACCCCCCACCTTCCAGTGCTCAAACTGTTTTTTGGGAAGGCGTACAGCCTGGAAATGGAGATGAGAGCATTGAGATCAAATTCGATAGAAGAAATGATTCAACAGTTGGTTAGCATGCAAAGTTAATTGTCAGATTTTAGCCGATAGATACGCATGTCGATCTGTGACACACACGTGCGCCCACGCACACGTGACACGTGCACGCACCTACATGCATGTCCGCCTGCACGGACGTCACACATTCGCGTGCGCACACACTCATATAATAGACAGAGAGAGAGAGAGTTGGTCACTTCAAAAAGAATCGACTAGAACTGGTTATTAGCTAAAAATATTCAACACTTAGGAGTAAGGATGCTAAAGTTTTTCTCGGCATGCGATAACATGCGTGTAAATGGATGGTTTAAAAAGAAGCTGGTTAGGTTAACAGTACAGAAAGATAAGGGTGAAATAAAATCGGTGGCCTGCATTTTAATAGTTCACCTTAAGGTCAAATGTTTGCCTCAAAAATCATGGAGTCGGATCCTCTTCACCATCTAAAAAGTAGTGGAGGGACCACTACATAATCACAACCATTGATTATCTAGTTGGTGGTTGTGATTTTTTCTTTGAGTGCAAATTAGGAAACGGTGCAATACACGGGGGTATGATGAGTGTTAGATTTAGATTGTATTATAACAGCATACTAAGTAATCGACGATTGAGATTAAAAGTAGTGGTCTCTCCACTATTTTTTTGTAGGGAAGAGGATCCAAATTCAAAAATTATATGTGGTAAATTACGGATCTAAGCAAAATATCACTTTTGGCCCGTTCATTTTGAGCCTGCTTGATGAATAGGCAAAAAGACGTTTAAATGCTTGATTTTTTTATTAGTAAGTACTATAAATGATGTCGATGAATTTCAATAGAACAATACAAACAGGTGTCTGATTGTCAAATTTAGATGTGCATGATTTAACTCTGACAACTAAAAGGAAAGTTACTGTGTTAACAGTAAACACCTACCCGCTACATTAATAACCAACTACAGACCCACTAAATGTTACTGTAGTAATACTGTAGTAACTGTACACGCCTACTACAATCTCACCTATATATAGCTCTCCCCAGCGTTAAGTTCAAATCATCGCAGAAACAACAACTCAAAATATAGAAGAGTGAGAGAAAAACAAAGAGAGTTTTTCCTTGTAAAGAGATATTGTAACTCCTAAATTTTTCTCATAGTGAATTCTTCTATCGTTACCCGTGATTTTTATCCCAAATTCATTCAGGGGGTTTTCCACGTAAATCTGTCTATTCACTTTATTACTTTTCGCTCTACTATTTGCTAGAACCCTGATCTATTGGGCATCGGTTTTTTCCCAACAAGCGGTATCAGAGCATGGCTTAGGATACATGTATCTACTTATCATATGCCTTGTGGTTGCTACTAAAAATTAATCCTCCACATCAGAAAATAAGTTAGATTATCATTTACCCTTTGAAGGCACTTGGTACAATTCACGAGTATGGTTACTATTCACAAGTACGGTTACTATTCACGAGTATAATTACTTTTCATAAATATGGTTACTGTGTACGTGAAATAGTAGAAGTTATCGTTTGTGGTAGAAGCAATGGCGGTGAAGTTCGAGATTGAGAAATTTAACTGGAGTAATTTCTCACTGTGAAAATTAAAGATAATGATATATTGAGAAAAGATAATTGTCTAGCGGTCATCGGTGCAAGGCCGGACAACACCACAGATGATAAAAAGTAAAACAAAATGAATGAGAATGCTATTGCTAATCTCCATCTGGCATTAGCAGATGGGGTATTGCCAAGCATAGAGGAAAAGGAAACAGTAAATGAATTCTAGGATACTCTACCAAAACTATATGAGGCCAAATCTCTGCACAACAAAATCTTCTTAAAAAGAAGACTTTATACTCTAAGGATGACAGAATCCATAACGATGACCGGCCATATCAACACCCTAAACATACTATTCTCCCAACTTACAACGTTGGGGCGTATAATCAGTGTTAATGAATGTGCATAGATTCTACTTTAAAGTCTACCTGATTCGTATAATCAACTCATCATTAATCTAACAAACAACGTTCTTACAGACTATCTAGTCTTCGACGATATTGTAGCAACCATTCTGGAGGAAGAAAATCGACGCAAGAACAAAGAAGAGAGATAGGCAAGTTCGCAACAAGCGGAAGCCTTATCGGTGATGAGAGGAAGATCAACTGAACGTGGCTCCAGTGAAAGTCATACCCATTGTAGATCAAAATTAAGAAGTAAAAAAGAATATCAAATGCTACAATTGTGGTAAAAGGGGCACATGAAATAGGATTGTTGGCACAATAAGAAGAGTGGTGATAAAAAGCCTTCAGAGCTATCAACATCTCAAAGATACACTGTCAACACATCAGACGATGGTTAAATTTTATACAGTAGAGCAACCACTATTGATGAAGGTAAAAATAAGTTTGCTGATATCTGGCTTCTAGATTCAACAACTTTCCTAGCACATGACCTCCCGAAGAGAATGGTTTCACAAATATGAACCAATCTCAGGAGAATCTGTATTAATAGGTAACGATCATACCTTAAAAAGTTTTGGTATTAGTACTGTCAAAATTAAAATGTTTGATGGTATAATACGCACCATTCAAAATGTACAACATGTGAAAGACTTGAAGAAAAAATCTATTGTCTTTAGGATAATTGGATGAGCTTGGATGCAAAACGCATATAAAAATATAATAATTAAAACTGTTAGAGAGGCGCTTGTTATGATAAAGGGATAAAAGATAGCTACAAATCTATACATACTGAAGGGAGAAACTCTGCATGAAGTCAATTTATGTGTAGCATCAACTAGCCATGAAGAAGAACAAACTGTGATGTGGCACCATAAACTAAACCACATATCCAAACGAGGCTTAGAGATTCTCTTCAATCAGAAGCTGCTTCCTAGACTCAAATCGATAGCTCTTCCCTTTTGTGAGTATTGTGTTACAAGTAAGTAGCATCGACTGAAATTTAACACATCGAGTTTTATAAGCAAGGTTATTCTGGAACAAGTTTATTCTAATGTATGGCAAACACCAGTTAGATCCATGGGAGGAGCAAAGTATTTTGTGTTCTTTATTGATGATTATTCCAGGAGATATTAGGTATACCCTATCAAGAAGAAGGCAGGTGTATTCTCAATATTTAAAACTTACAAAGCATGATTCAAGCTTGAATCTGAAAAGAAAATCAAATACTTGAGGTCAGATAACGGAGGAGAATACACAGACGGTGAATTTCTTGTATTCTGTAAGCAAGAAGGCATCAAAAGACAATTCAGTACTGCATACACTCCTCAATAAAATGGAGTAGTAGAGTGAATAAATAGAACTTTGTTGGAAAGAACAAGAACAATGTTGGCAACTATAAATTTGGATAAAGTCTTTTAGGCAGAAGCAGTAAAAATCACATGTTATGTAGTGAGTCGATCTGCAATAACTGCAATACAGTTGAAAACACCAATAGAGATGTGGACCAGCAAACCAGCTGATTATTCTAACCTCCATATAGTTAGAAGTCCAGTGTACGTAATGTACAATACCCAAGAAATTATAAAGTTGGATTCAAAATCTAGAAAATGCATATTATTAGGGTATGCTAATGGAGTAAAGAGGTATCGCTTGTGGGATCCCACTACCCGTAAGGTCATCATCAGCAGAGATGTTATCTTTATAGAGAACCAACTACAAAGTGAAGAGAAAGAAAGTTGTTCAAGGAAGAACTCAGAGACAATAGTTGTTCAAGTAGAAAATGATCTAATTTTTCCTGAAACAACATGGGAGTATGATGTGCAAGAACCAGTCGAGTCCAAAGCTCCAAATGTTCTAAGGTCAACTCGTGAGAGAAGACCACTGACTTGACACTCATAATATATTACGAAGAATAATATTGCATATTGCCTTCTAACAGAGAATGGAGAGCCATCAACTTTCCATAAAGCTATAAACAGATTCGTATTTGTGAATGGCAGCAATGCAAGAAGAAAATGAAACTCTTCATAAGAATAAAACTTGAGTACTTATGTCACTACCACAAGGAAGAAAGACCATTGAAAATAAATGGATCTATAAGATCAAGCGAAATGGTGACAATCAAGTGAAGTGATATCATGCTAGATTGGTGGTAAAAGAATATGCTCAGAAAGAATGTATTGACTTTAATAAAATATTTTTTTCCTATAGTTTGACTTACAAGAGTCCGAATAGTCCTGGCTATGAGCATTATTTTTTACCTACTGTAGGCGTCAAAAAGTGCCTATGGATCCCAAACACAGCTCAAGACAGAGAGCAGACGAAGAACGTCATCATCTAAGTTAGAGAGGACTAGCCAAAGCAAAGAAGAATGTAAAACAGAGCAAAAAATAGACTTGGAGCTGCCTCATAGTTGGTGAGATAGCATCTACTATCTCGTATATCTGAGATAGCTTCCTATATTTTCTGACGGTTTCGTGACGTTTTGCGAGGACCACATGGCTCCATAACTGCTTTAGAACGTTCATTAATATTAGTAGATGGTTATACCCTAAAAATACACCCACTATCCACAAGAAATGTGGCATTTAATGCACTTCAAGTAGTAGGGCGACAGTTACAAAGGCTCTGCCACTGTCTCCTTTAGTCGAGACAGTGGACACTATCTCGCCCAATGGAGACCGTGACCACCAATTGTTTCAGCTTCTTTTTGACGGTTACGTCTTCAAAAGGCTATAAATACCTCCCTTACGTACTTGTAAAGAAGAAGGGATGATCTACTGAGATTATCAAGGCAAAGAGACGCTGGTGTTGGCGAACTTTGAGCACAGGAGAGAGAGTTCTTCACTATTTTCAAGTAATCTCAAGAGTCCTTTGGTGTTTCCTCGAATTCAAGCTTTGACTTATTCTTGAGAAGAGCGTTCATCTTACTTTGTTAAGATATTCACTTTAGTTCTTATTTTTACGTTGAAACATCAACTTTCAACCTTCTTTATTTCTGACTTAGAAC